TCTCGTCGATCGTTTCGTGACAAACCGTGTCTTACAGACAACTAGTCATGTCTTTTGATGTCTTTTACAGAAAGTGCCTCCATTCCTTCTGTTCACCGTTGCCGTTGTCGTTACTGCCACTGTAGCTTCTCGCTATCCTGTTCTTGTTGCTGCTTTTCGGCTGCTGCAAATAGCGTTTCCTGTGTTCTACCACTGTCAGCAGTTGACCGACTTGACCATTCAACACTCGGTTGTTTTTCGTCGCTCCTGTTCTCGGTGCCAATGACCAGCATGCTGACCTTAGGTGTCAACCACAACCAAATGCGATACCGGAAACAAATGGCTATTGCAGCACAAATCGCTTGGGTCGATTGTGTTGTTTTTGAACAGCTTTGCGAGGCGAACACCGCAGTTGGCTCGTCCATGTTCTGTTTGAGAACCTGGCTTGCGGGGTGGGAGGCTGATGGCTCTGACCCAACCAAGCTGGTTGGTTTTGGCTTGGAAATGATTCAACACACCAAAGCGCCAGTGGCAAAAAGTCTTGCCTCCCAAGGAAACATGGGAAACATGACTACCACCTGTGGAACCCGCCTTGAATGTTGACCTGCCATGATGCCATTGATAGATTGTTGGGTGAACCCAGCGCCCCAGCGCTGAACGCATGTACAAGTCCGTAGACATATGGAGCGATTTGACGCTTCAGCCAGTGGAACTGAACTCTGAGACCATACTGTACCAGGTTCAGTTCCACTGGCTTCACTGAAGCAGTTCATATACTGTACCTGGTTCATGCTGGCACTATATTCCACTAAACTCTGAAGCCAGTGGATTACCAGGGTGTAGTCTTGGTTCAGCTCAGCAAAGCTCACCTCCGTGCACGTGATTGAGGTCTGCTGCTCATGCAAGTAGTCCTGCCGATGATGCGACGCCGGAAGTAACTCCCTCAGATCGATCCAAAAGGACAACTAGGCTAAGTGAATGGCAGGTTTCAAAGGTTCAATGGTAAGCCAAAGAATTCACAGAACCGTGAGACGGGAGGACCAACTCCGAAGGGATGGTCCTTGTGCGCACGGATATACTCGGCCTGAGCTGCTAGATCCTGAAGCAAGGCTTGTCAACGGCACTGTGCTGTCCAAATGTACACACCCCGGGGTCTACTCTGGACAGCACACTGGAGTCTACTTTGTCCAAATGTAATTTCATGATCTTATACATACACCGGGGTCAGAGTAGATGGCTCCGCCCGAAACAGAAAAAGGCGAGTTAGATGGCACGGACAGGGCCCCATGCGTTCGCAACGCCCGGAGGATTCTCTTTTTCAGATCCGCACACTGCCCGAGACTCGGAGAATGCGAAGAATGCTTCATCGGTCAGCCCACCCTCTGAGACTCTTCGACTGCTGGAACTCCCAGGTGCTTGTGACACTAAGCCGACAGATTGAACAATGATTTGATGCGCCGATATGCCTCATGTCATGCCTTCCTGTGGAAGCTGAAAACAAATCTCTGCTCCAGTTCTTAGCCCACAGGCATCAGTCACCATCCCTAAGGGGCAACCACCAACAAGTGCAGTTGGTGGCCCAGTTGGTGGCCATTTCCTGGATTTTCACTCAGACTGCATCTTCTCTCACCCCCCCTCTGTCTCTGCCTCCACTGCAAGGAAGTCAATGGACAGGTTGGACAGCGCCACTCCGTTTTCACCTGCTCCACAACAGGAGTTTCCGGACCTTGATTCACTCATCACCTCACTAGCTACCCACCCTGTAAAGTTGGCTTTCCAAAAGTTTCCGATGTCCAAACGATTTGAGTGCGGCATGACGTGCTGTTCAATGCCAGTGCTAAAGTTGGTTTTCAACCGGGTTCACTACCGGGCTCACATGCTCACCATCGTCATTGGTCTCTCCCTCCCCATCCCTACCCTGACAGGTCCAACCAGCTCCGTCCTCCGCTCCGCGCACTGGGTCTCCGCCACGGGCCGTGTTCAGCTTCTCAAAGCCCGCTTGGAGGTCCGCCGATTCCTGGCCCATCTCCTGCGACCGGCGACCCGGAGCGAACTGCTATCACCGGTCGGTGGACGTTCCCAAAGGAATCCAACACACCAAAGAGGAAGATCTCCCAGGTCTAAGACCCTCTGGAAGAAAGGCCATAGACCAGTCTACCCATTGGGTCGGGGGGGTTCTCCGTATCAAAATCCGCATCCAAATGAGTGCTCAAAGGTGATTGCATGTCAAGTGACTGAGCACTGACGTTTCAGCAACTGTGCCTCCCAAATTCGTGCTTCTGCGGGGTCTATCTCAATCGGTGGCAGCCGATACCTTAACCAGCCAGGCACAGACTCAACACATCTCAAAACCCATCACAGCCTCTACTAGTGCATCCTCTCATGACTGATAAACAAACATTCTCATCCTGGCCGCCCACTCGACCAACTCCCAGTGCTCAGGCCCCATGCTGCATGGAGGGCCGCATGTTCCGAAAGATCAGAACCTCAGTAGGAAAGTAGAACACTGAACAGGTCTTAACATGATTTAAATCCCAGTATATATCTCCCCAAACATCTGGTAGTGTTCAAACATCCGAGAACCGATGAGCCGCTGAAAGGAGAGTGGCAGCCCGGAAATCTTGAAATTTGCGGGACTGTAGATGTAGCATGTTTGGGTTGGTCGTCGCTCCAGTTGAGATGTGTCCAAGCACCGCACTGTTCCAAACAAAGTTCAGACTTGCAGATATTCTCCAATCATCACCAGTGAAGCTTGGTGAAATCAAAGCGCTGTTCACATCACGGCCATGCTGGACCCGTCATCCTACCAGCCAGCTGACTGCCACGTTCGACCGCCGAGGGCACCCGGCCCGGTGCCCGCTGGCCACCGCCAGCGTGGGAATGGGGGGATTGGCCGCCTGGTGAACGAATCCACTGCATGGCACTGAATCGCCTACGAAGCATCCTGATCTATAGTGTAAACTGAGGGATAGTGAGTATACTCTATCTAAGGTGGTGATAGAAATCTCTTCTTGGAATACCAACAGTACACTCAAGCTAGCAACACTGCACCCTAACCTGACATTTTAGTCCTTAAAGCCTTATCTTGAAACCAACGTGGCCCGATCTACTGCAGATGCTTTGCGAGTAGCCAACAAAAGGGACTGTTACCGTCCACTTGATAGTGGGTTGCTGGGATGAGACAAGCATTGATAGCTGGTCTTGCGAATTCTCCCTCACTGGAAGACAGGGAGTTCCTTGTATCACAAGTCAGTGGCTTTCAACAAAAAGACTGCTGAATGTCACAACGGGCAACCCATCTGCGAATATCACCTGTCCTACCACGTCCTACCATCCTTCGCACATCATTGCCGCTTTCAAATCTTTCAATGCCAAATGAGGACATGGCATCACTCAAAGACTTGGGTGACCTCCACCTGGTGGTTGTGAGGAATGCACGCTCTGCACCATCCCTGTTTTCCGGATCCGTCTTTGTCGTCCGTGGTCATTGCAGGTGGTGCAGCTGGCCGTCGTGCGGCACTGGGGCCTCATGGTAGAAGGCTTGCACAGCGCAAGGCACATCAGGCAGCTTGTGCTCCCATTGGATGGTCGTTCCCTGGTGCAAGGCCGAAATCGAAGTGTCCGAAATTGAGTTGGAGACCAAGCTGGGAAGACTTTCCAGCTCTGCTCTTCTGCACCATGGTCATTTCATGTCACTCCGCCTCAGAAAGGTCGCCTCAAACGAACTGTCTGCTTGTACATTCATATAACATCATATAACACAGAGTCCAGCCTTGTACATTCGAATGCGCTTTTTCAGGTCGACCTGGGCGGCGCCCGGGTCGAACGCGCCGCGCCGCAAAACGCGCCGGTGAAAAGGTCGCGAGCTCACGTCGCTCAGCTTTCAGTAAGCCACGATCGTGAGGCTACTGCCATGATGAGCCGATGATCTCCATCAGCGACTAGATCTGCAAGACATAAGAAGGACCTGATCGGTCAGAGTGGTCACACATGGTTACACACCGCAAAAGCTGGGGAGAACAGTTCAGGGAGCCTGGTTTCACTGGTCTCACTTGTTTCATAGGGAATGCTTGAAACAACTGAGCTTCAAGACGAATAGCAGCTCATGCCTGCCACAGGATCATGCCAGGCCTGAGCGCAAGCCACGGCCCGTCAGGACGCAAGGCAGAGGCAGATGGGCGTGTGGGTTATGGGCCCAGAACCTTATGCACCTTCACTTGAAACATCTTGAAACAGTCTCTGTAAAGGTGGCACTTTCAATGCTGGCACGGGCGCTTTTCCAAATGGTAGCCCTCAACATCCTCAACTCTTCTTGCGTATCGCATTGTTCTCTTGGCCCTTGTTGAAAGCTCCTTATGTTTTCCAAATGTCAAAACTCATTTCATGCTTTGCATCTTGAACTACACTGACTCCTCTATCCTGGAGCAGATTTTCACTAAAAAAAGCTGTACCAAGAGGTCGAAGAAACTCTTGTGCTGTAGGGCAAAGCCGCAAAAGCTTCCGGGCCGCTTCTTAGCTATGTCAACAAGAGAGCGGTTTTCGTTTTCTGAATAACTAGTCACTAATCACGTCTTGCACTGCTTTTGAACATTCTCACAGAAGCGCCTCTGTGATTTGTTGGAACATCTCGCCAAAAGAAGGAAGGCATTACATTTCGAAATCCGCATGAAAATGGTGGGCTCGAAACACAACTTTCGCTGCACCTTGCCGAATCACGCACTTTTTTCAGCATCTGAAACGGATCCGTCTAACTTGGCCTGATTTGATAGAAATGGCGATTGACTTTCAAGGGTGCGAGGCGTCTCGCTAATGGGTCAATTTCAATTTTGAACGACAAGCTTATCGCAAAATTGTCGTTGACAAGCTTCGCTGTTGTCAAGCTTGGGTAATGCAGCAACGCAGCAATGCAGAGATGCTCAAGTCGATGTTTTGCTTCGCAACGGAGGCGACGTGAGTTTCATGGCTTCAAACATGAAAGCAAATGGACGCAAACAAAGACTGAACGCAGGTGCACCCTGCCGCGTTGGCGCACTGGGAAGTGGGCCGCGCAACCAGCCATGGAAACCCTGTTTACTGAAGCAAATTCTATAGATTGTCTGTCTATATAAACCAAAACCACTTTGAACCATTAAACCAACAACTGCTTGGAAAAACGCTTCTTCGTTCACCAAATCGATAGCCAGCATCATTAAAAAGTCGGTCTCCTCACCGCGGGGTCTCCTCAATGTCTGATTGATCGGTTGTTCTGAACTGACCTCGCTCCCTGAAATTGTCGGTCTGTCGCTTCTTCATTGAGTACAAGTGGTGGGATCATCTGTAACTCAAAAAAACCCATAAAATCCCGTATGTCAGGTCCGTAATTCTGGGCAACTGGCATCGAGCCAGGGGCTCTTCTTCTTCTCCTCGGGCTTGGACGCCTCGATCGCCTTGGCTCCTGCCACAGAAGGCTCTATCTGGCTGTAGCAAGTCATTCTGATCACAGCATCTCGGTTTTCTTTTGTCCTTCTCTTATCCCATAGCCATAGAAGACACCCAAAGATAATCTATTTTGGAACCTTTGTGATGGCTCAAAGGGAACAAGCCGCTACATCGAATCATCGCTCTGCTTTCCTGTAATGGTCAAGTGTTCACAGGTTGAAGCAACCCGAAGTTCTTGCAACATATGGAGGCAGGAGGGCCAAAGTATCATCCCCCATTCGAGGTCACTGCTGAGGCCTACCCAACAACCAAGCCCCCCCACTCACAACCCCCTTTTTTTGAGAACACATGTAAGGCCAAAGGAGTCCAGTGATCTCCTCCAAAGGAGTTACAGTATTTTACCAGTGCTTACCAGTCACACTGAACACGGGACCACCCTTTGGCATCGATCCGTTCGCTCTCCTCCAGCGTCTGCCATGCCTTCTGAAAGGGCAGTTACTCCTTCGTGCTCGTCAGCCTACATAGTGACGGACAGTGAACGAGGGGGTGGCAAATAAGGGGTACACATCAAGAGCCTGGGTCAGACTGTAATGGTGTGAAGGAAAAGACAGAAAGAGAAAAAGGAGGCAGGGCTCATGCTTGGGGCATGCAAAAGATGCAAGTTTAGCATTATGCCGATTCGGTCTACCCTTCAACTATCACAAATGAAGTGGCCAATGATCCATCTACCCCATGTCTTCTAGAACCGACTCTGCTGATTAGGAATCCCGATTGAGCAGAAACAGTACATAAGGAGTGTTTTTTTTCAAACAAACAAGGACAACTTGTTGACATCGTACATAGTCCAAAACAGATCCAACATGATGATGCCACAATGTTGACTGCTTGATTGAATAAAACTCCCCTACCTAGCAAAAAACATGTCCACTAACTGGTGGCTGGATATTCGTCGCACCAATCCCACATTCACTATCATTCACATTCACCCACCATTTCTGATGCGGTTTGACCATCGCCACCTCGTGGCGCGGAGCTTTGCCGGGCCATCAGACACGGGCCGACGGGGCCTTCACGACGGTCGACGCGCCGAAGGGTCGACGGTCGGACGCGGCGGTTCAACCACCTGAGCCAGACGCGAAGACCAGCTATGCCACGTGGTGGAGCAGAAAAGCATGTTGGATCATCTGCAGCATCTGGACTCTGGACAAAACATGACAAAAAACAACATATTTTAGATTGAGGGCTCGCGATATCGCACCCTTACCTAAACCGACCCACCAGGTGTTCAACGATCCAGACATGATTCAGTAGCTTGCTAATTGCCTCTTTTGAACTGACAGCCATGGAAACAAAAGGCCTCCTTTGCTATAGACAGTATAGACGATGTGCGAGCAACTGACAACATTTGCCGCCACCCAAAGAACTTGGACACTGGGGCGACCGCCTATTTTGGTGAGAACCTATTTTGGTGAGAACATGGTGGCTTCATGTCAATGTGGCTTCCCAGTTTCCTTCTTCAACCAGCCTCAAACTTCCATTCATTTTGTGCGATTTTGATGCAAACCTGGGTAGAAGCATGCAAACACGATCAAACTTCCTCGACTGGTCGTTGTCCGTTCTCGGTCCCCCAATAAACAAGTCAAACGGCTGCACCCGGCAACTGTCCCAACGTCCGATCTGCGGCAACTTCACTTTCCGAAAGCGGCGGAGTCCTAAGGATCTGCCTGTACAACTCTCCGCTCCCTCCCTGCGCGGCTGCGGCACCCCCGGCTGCGGCCAAACGGCCGTGTGGAGCTCGCTGGACCAGTGCTGAACCGGACCCGGAATATCGCTGATTTGCCCGCTGATCACAAGCAAATTGGGATCATAGAACACCTACAGGCTTGGTCTACTTGAATCCGTAGTAGGATTTGGTACATTCCCCTCATGGCTCTCATGGGAGAGTGGATGCCAAGTTGGCAAACACCCATAACAGGCGAGGATTGCTACAGGCAAGGCGGGCTCCTTCAAGAATCCTTTAAAGGCAAGAAGATGCAAGAAGCATCGTTTGCCTGCAACACCTAGGATCTATGAGAGTTAATTATCCAGAATCGATTCTCATCCTCAGATTGCTCACCAAAGCTGCTGGTATCTGCCGGTCAAGCCGAGTCTTCCACCCAACATAGGCTGCACTTCTGCAGCGAATCAACGTGCAAAACGATGGGTGCCATCTGTGCCGCGACGCGGAACAAAATGTGGACAAGTCTGACCTTGGTACTCCCATGACCTCCCCTACCAGTGAAGTCGGCAACAATCCATCTGATCCATCTTGAAGGATTACCAGACCCACCTGGCCCACCAAAGATCACGCTCTCCGGGGATCGAAAGCAGAACTTCAAATGTGAATGGAACATCCCCAGCTGCCAACTCAGGCACCTACGTTTTGTTAACTCCAACTGGCTAAGCTGGCTGCCTTTCCTACACCTTCGCCTCCACTGGCTCGGTGGCAATGCACATCACGAGACGGCAAACAAATGGCGCCCAGGATTCCCTCTTGTGGAGACCATCCGGCGCATGGCTTGGAAGAAGAGCAGTGCTTTCAGCTGAGTGGAGGTGACAACCGCTTCGCCATCCTTTTCCCAGGTTTAAGTTTAAAGGGTGAAAGATCATGGGTTGTATACCCAATGATGAACGTGAGAAGTTTTGGGCCGGGGGCCGTCCACATCTTTCACCCATCCTACATCCCCCCATCCGCATCAACTGCTACCAGTAGTACATCACCAAATGACGAATTTAACGCAGTCAGATGTCCAAAGTTCCACTGGCTGAAGAAGCTCCGCTGCTCTCCGACCTTTAAAACACACCTACGGAATCTTAAGATTTGGGCTTCGTGTGAGACCTTGGAGTGGAGCCGTCAAATGCTTACGACCTCAGCAATCGAACCGGATCACCACATCGCTTCGCCTCGCCGAACCCCCCAATGGTCGTGGAAGAATGAACCCACTGGCCATGTGGCCACGTAGGTTCCGAATGCTAGTTCCCTTGCGAACCTCCAAGGTCTGGCATCCTCAATGAGAGCAGTCTGTGGGCGGGCCAGAGCATTAAATGGTGCTAACCGTCCTGTTCCGAGCCTCAAGCATGGAGAACGATGTCTCCCAGTCATGGAGAACTCGAACTCGACTTGGACCCCCCGAAGTCAGGTTTCTTCTGTCACATAAAGAGCTCTTAACATCTCTTAAACCTGAGGCGTGGTTTCACAAAGTGAAGAGCCCCTCGTTGAGGTCATGGACGATCATGGACTGGAACTTGGGATGCTTGTGGCCTCTTTCGGTTTCAGGGGAATCATCTGCTGCTGCTCCCTCGGTCATCAATCCGTTGGGCCAACATCGGGCCGCCGACAGAGGCAGATGCGGGCGCAAGCCGTACTGGCTCGTACTGCTCGCGCTCCTGAAGCACCAAAACGCATCGATGTTGATTTTATGGCGAGAGGCCATAGTCTTGCAAGCTCAAAACCTTGAAATGTAAGCCAAAAATCACAGCATATCACAGCGTCGGATCTATCTGGGAGGTGATTTGGACCGAATCTGCGAGTTCGTTGGTTTCGTTGGTTCGATGTTCCCCTTTTCAACGTGAAGGACACTTCGGATGGCTTTACTTTTTTCGGATGGACGATTGGATTTCACTGACCTTAATTGGCTGAGGTCTACGCCTGCGGCACCGGGCAGCTCACTCCGCCCTGATGGGGCTCCAGCCTCAGCCAAATGGACAGAAGGAACCCGGATCGGCCTGCTATTCAGGGTGGATTGGCCTCTGCATATTTCTCTGAAGACAACAGGTGGCACACCACCAGCAAGCCTTGCAACTCTTAACAATTCTTACAGAGCCCCCAACCACGAAGAGTTCATGAATGAGATGAACCGGGGTGGCAAGGCGTTCCCAGGGAACTTTTCCGTCGCAAACCGGTTGGTCATGTGAGCCATGTGAACTTAGGGCAGCGCACAGCTTCGGCATCCTCGGCATCTTGAGAACACCAAACAAAGCCCGATCTTTGAGCAACGTTCGTGGCTCATTGTTGCTCTGTATGAGATAATCATTACATATATATATTATGTACTTATATGTATACATATACACTGAAAATAACTAGTCCAGGGCAAGTGTATGAACCCTTGTAAGGGGTGCAAAAAAAAGCAACTAATCGAGTCGATATGACAAAATTAAACAAAAGGGGGGGTTCAAGGAGTTAATTAGCTGGGCAGAACTCATTGACCTTTGAGCATGCAAATGCAGAACTTTATATAATTGCCAGGTCTGTCAGGTCTGGATACCTCATTGTTTGTGTAGATGTTTTCAGGTCTGATGTCAACTATTTTTCACCTTGTCAAAGAACCCCACTTCAATTTTTAACATGTGGGAAATCAAATTGCGATATTTCATTCTGAGCTCAGTAGGTGGCCTGAACGAGTTTTCCAACGCTGGGGCCATGAATCTAGATACCATCCAATTGTGGTTGAAACACATCCGCCCATTGCCCATGGTCCCGCATGTCTGGCCGACATGTCTCAGCTACTCCCTGTACCCTTGAAACATCACTTAACTGGGAGATAGCCACAGCGGTGGCACTTGAAAACACTCGCGGCGCCTCCAAGGTTTGCAATAACGCAAGCCACCAACGAATCCAACAAATCTACCGGTTCTGCTGACAACTTATCCATACCTCTTATGCAAGCAACAGTCACATGCGGATGTAGTAGAACGGTATTCTTCCTTCTCCAGGGCTTTCACTGGGTCTTTTGCCCTTTCTCCAGTTCTACTACCAGCTACCTTCCAAGATCAATACCCGGCCCCACTCCGTCCCCTCAACTTACTGCCAGTTCCTTCATGTTCCTTCCCGCCTGAATCTCGTCGCTCTCGGTTTCCTCCTCTTCCTCTTCTTCCTCTTCCCACTCTTCCACCTCCTCAGCATCTTCATCCACCTCATCTTCCTCTTCCTCCTCTTCTTCCTCCTCCTCTTGGGACCTTGACTGCCAGTTTGGGAAGGCTTGTTGTTTGGGTGCACTTCTTGAGGCAGGTCACCGAGTAGATTCAAGGAGGCCGTAGGAGGCCCCTTTCCCTCTACACCAACAGGAGGATATTACTGAGGTAGTAGTCATGCCAGTATACTGTATTCTGTCACGGAACTCACAAACACATGTATGTGTCGGCAGCTAAGCAGAGATGGCTTCGCTGGCCTGGCTGACGTTTTGGCAGCTAAGCCTGTTTGGACGTCCATGTACAGCATCGATCAGCTCAGAGGCTCTGCCCGCTCTAATTCCTCAAAACTGCTGAGATTGCTCCAATCCTTGCCCCTCCATGGTGTACCTCTCCCAAACCCACCGATGGATGGCGAAAACGGCGGGGCCCGGTTCAGAACCGGCCCCCCCGGTGGTTCAGGGCGGTGGGGGGCGGGCTGAGGCGACGGCGAGCTTTCAGTGTCCGACTCCCAGGCATAGATCCCCACCACCTGAGGTGGAGGAAAACTACGGAGGGGCTCCGGGGCCGACGCTGTGGGAACTGCGTGGGTTGTGGAGTTGGACGCCTCCGTCTGCCTAGCGCGGAATCGATTTCCGAGCATGTTCTGGGGGATGAAGTGCCCACCAGTAGATCTGAGCCCCTTTCAGAGTCTGCTAGGGTTGGGAGTTTGAACATGTTTGAACCATACACAGATCTCAGAGTTATGTGATGCATATGGGTTGTATCCCTGGACAACCGGAGTTGGCTCCGCTTCAGCAGCTCTGCCCTAAACCTGTCACCTTACCAGAGCACTAGATGTCTCCAAACGACGTGGAAGTCTAATTAGTCAAACAATCTCTAGTCTTCCATCAAAGACTTGTGGAGCATCCAAGTCTCATTTTCCTGCAAGTTAGATGCAATCCACTTACAGTAGTGTCCAGATATGAGGTTTCATGGATCACCAAGCTTGGGGTGAGCAACCCGCCAGAAAAAGAAGAACAGTCCAAGGCGAGCATGCTCCAAAGTTGTGAAGTGACTTCTGATCAGTTTCTGTTATTGTTTGACAACGCTGAGCTCAACATGATATTTTCATCTGCAAAAGAACATCGGTGGAGGAAAACATCAGAATGACCGGCAGCTTTGTTCAAAGTCCCAACACAACATTGAAAAGTGATCTGCTGCCCGAAGTATCCCCAAAAGTGGGCTTCTCTTACGCTCTTAGATGGGCTTGTGTCGAACGCAACTCGGGGGAGCCTTGTGGCACCTGGTTTTGGACCACAGGGAACCCCCCCTCCCAACGTCCTGGCGATCGTCGCCGAGTCGCCGGAGGTCGATCGTCTACTTCGCCCTGGTGCGGGAAGAAGGGGATGCCGGCTGCAGCCCACAAGGCGCTGGTGCCTTCCTGCGATTTGGGTCTTGTGTTTGTCGGCATTGGACTACCTTGAAGCAGGTTGATCTTGATGGGAGAGGGTGGTGGGGGAGTGTTCGTTTGTGGAGATTTGCTGGACTGTCGATTGTCAATACCACACCAAAGACAGAGTGCAGGGAGGGTGAATGGGATAGTTTTCAATTCTGCCAACACCAGCAATTTTTGCTCCGTGTACGATCCCCTCCGTCTATATCAAACCCAAACAGGACCGCACACGGAAGCCTTTAAAACAATGCCTGCAACCGGATGTGGACCCAGAACCTGCAAAGCAAAGCTGCCCCAGTAAAGGACATACGGAAACTGCCAAGTGTCATGGTGACGTCCCAGCACGACGAGGGAGGCCCGGCCGCAACTACCACGCCTTCTTACAACGAGGCACTTCGCAAACTGAGTCATACTATTCAAACGCTCATGGACCCTGATATGGAGGGGTCTGGGGCCTCAAATACCTAGGTTTTGAGGGACCAGTCGGGCTGTTTGGATCTGTTTGGAGCGTCTGGGTAAGACTAATATCCTTCCTCTGGTTCTCCGCATCCGTGACGATGTCCGAGCCATACGCATTGTGGTGACTTGTCCGTGCCAAAACCGGCAAAAAAGGCGACCGCGACACGGTTGGTGCGATTGGTGCGTCATCCCTTACTCCGCAGTCGCTACTATTCCAGAGCGGATGATGTGTGAAGAGATGCAACATGCCGACGACCCAAGCCTAAACATCCAAAAGTGAACTGATCTGATCTTCAAAAAGGCTCCACAAGTATATTCGAAATTTGCTTTAAGCAAGGGCTGACAAAGTTAGTCTTCCACAGATTGACAAATTTTGAGTACTTATTAATATATGTTATGATTCCAATGAATTCCAATTCTTATGATTCAAAAATTAAGATTCACAGATATGGTAAGATTCTCAATAGTTTTTCCTTTGTTCACTTCGTGACCCCAGCCGGCCATCGAGTTCCTCGGGGACATCTCTGAAGTCTCTGAACCAAGGCACCTGCCGACGACACGCGGGGGTTGTGTCACGCAGACTAAACAAGTCCTCACGGATATATGTAAGACCATGCTTTGGTAAAAGGATTTGCTCGCAAAACCAAGGGATCTCAGGGTCAGGGTGTAGGTCAGATGTGCTTTTCAACTTCTTGAGGCAGTCTCTCGGTCTCCGTTTCGACAAGGCACCAGTTGCCCTTTGGGAGACTTCCAAGGATTTGATAGAATTGATGTGATTTTTCTAGAGCAAATCTGATCATTCTGATCCAGCGATCCTCGTTCCTTCTCTCCATGTCGTGGATGGCGTGACCGCATTCGAACGCACCACCTTCCCCGTGTGTTTTGAGACTTGGCACCAAAGTCCGGTGGAGTGGATCCCGGGATGCGCCCGGAGAAAGCGCCTCTGGGATGGGCGGTGCAAGCATCTCGGACCTGGGTGGGTCGCTTGGCGGGTGGGTCGATTTGGTCGATTGGCGTAAGGGATCACGCATTTTGCATCCATTTGGATCCATTTGGAGGGTACTGTGTGTGTTTTTCATTTTTTAAATGACGAAAACCACAAACTCTTAGTCGCGAAACTTGGTGTTTTGCATTGTTTGGCCAGTCGAAAGTACCCTCACATTTGCCATCTTCTTGGTTGCTCACCAACTGGGGGTGAGACAAGGATATTCTTGATGCTTTACGTTATTTTGGTCTAAGTGGAGCAATTACTGATGAGGATTTGAGATCACTGTCTGATCACTACATGATCATCTTCAACAAGTTATGAAATGCTATGAACCATGCCTCATCTATGAACCATGCCTTCCGAAAGTGAATGGAAGTCCACGCTGCAGAGTGATGAGTCCAATATTGAAGTGTCACTTTGGACCTCTTTGGAATCACATTTGCCGTTGCCTTCGACGATGCCACCCCAACAATCACCGGAATCTGGCTCGTTGAGCGGGGATGCCGATCCACGGGATGGCCGGTCCAAGACCATTGTTCCGCTCTCGGTTTGGGTCCTCAAATGGTCCAAATCGTTGACACCCCAATCGTTCGGTGTGACGTCCAGTTGTGTGCGATGTTCAAGCATCATGAATCCAATGAACCCCTCAGTCATGCCCTTTTCTTGTCTCCTAATACCTTGTACAGTTGTTTTTTTAAATGCCCTTACTGTGTTTTGCATCCCTTTTGCTCCAAATGGCGAGGTTGCTTTGGCGCCACCAATGGCCATCACACCCATCTCCTTCGACGCAAACCCTCCGGTCTGTCTTGGCATTCCTCGCGGCACCACCAAGTCCGGAGGTGGCTCGCTGCTACTCGACCTTGGGGGCTCAGTGGACAGCCCAGGAAGGCTCAAGAACCAAGCTATAGTAGCGTCCGATCGCTCCTAGTAGTAAGGCCAGGAGCCCCTAGTAGCGTCCGATCGCTCCTATAGTTGTGGGTTATATATTGTTATCATGGGTTGGGTAGGGTATAGTGATCTTGATTCCAATTTCTTCACATTATGAAGGAAGACCTTCCATTTTCCGAAGCTAATTGCCCAAGCTTCAGGGCAAAACCCACATGAACACATAAACACTTAGACTTGTCAGCTCCCGCTAACAGACCCTCTCAGACCTCGAATGTACGGATCAAAAGAACTCGCCAACTTCCAAGTGATTTGCACGGGCATTCTTTAGGAGAACGATTTTGTGAGAACACAGGCCACACGAAGCCGGCATGTACTAGGGCATGTCTATGGTTCTGACCTGCTGTTTTGTGGCTGTCCTGCAAAGAAAACATACACCCACCAAATTGATACAAAAAGGTTTCCCATATGCAGTTTCAAAGGAGAGTCACTTTTTGAATCTTTTTGATCAATTTGGCACACTAAAATTGCGCTAAAGAACTGCTTTCCTCAAAACAGGGACAACCTCCCGCCAGTACCCCCAGTGCCTCTTCTTTCTAACCCTCCCCTCGGCGTCCCACGGCGCCGCTTTTGGGCGCGGCTGCAAGCGATATTGGAGGCCTCCGCTTGGTCGGTCCGCCGCCAGCGAGCTGGGCAGAGCGCTGGGGCAAAGCGTAGGGACTGGGAACCGCCAAGTGATCCAAAGGCTAAGCCTTTCCGTTGACCGTTCACCAAGCCGTTCTGGCACCGTTTCTGTGATTTGGATTGTGGACAAAGACGGTTCTGGCCAGTGATGCTGGGGAGCGATTGATTTCAAGAGCTTGCTTGAAGAAGGCCTGATTTGGGGATTGAGACCTGTACCAATATGGAGGGCATCTCAAGGACGTGCAATGCACTTGAAGAACTTTTGGAACCAAATGAGCAAGTGGAGGGCTCCATGCTGTCCCAAACTTTGGATAGCTGGACAGGAACATAACAAGCCCCATGAATATCACAGGAGTCGGAGTCGTGTCGGAGTCGTAAACATCAACAAGCCAATGGATCTTCTTCGGAGAAAAAGCGTTAACAACCTAAACAAGGCACATCCATCATACGCATGACAGATGGTTGAAAGCACCGTTGCTTAGGGCTTAACACCTGCTGCCATTGGGAATGGACATCTGGGCGATAGCAAACGACGTGTGTCATCGCGTCACCACGTGCGTTTCCGAACGGTCTGCGAGCGAACGGTCACGGTGCCACAGTGGCAAAGCCTGTTCATGCCATCGTTCGGACCTCCTGTTCTGTGCAAAAGGACATGGCACGATTTTACGCATGTTGGGCTCGGAAAAATGCCTCAAATCGCCTCAAACTAGCCTAGCACCAAAAGTTTCAGAGGCGTCTGGTGCAGGGGCCACGCAAAGCCCGGCTCCGCTGGTTTCGCTGAGCTCCGGTGGCTCCCTGAGCTCCGCACGTCCCAAGCCAGGATGTCGACCTCCCACGTTCCAATCACAGCTCATGGGACGGTTTGGCGCACGAGCCAAACAACCCTGGCTTACATATTAGAATCATAAGAACAGGCAAACATGGTAAAGTAAAGATGTACTGTCCTGTACTGTAAACAAAAAGGTTGAACGGTGGTCCAAAATAATTAGGTCTTTGGTTAATTATGGCAGGGTGGATGTTTTGTAGGGGACCCACGTCGGCAATCCACATGTTTCCACATCCCATCCTTCACAGTGTGATCACCAGACATCCATACCAAAACTCTCCCAAAAAGCACTCCCGCGTCAAGGCAAGAATCTCGACAGTCGACACGACGGGAAGCGGCTACAAGTGGTTGAAACGCACAGACTTGTAGAGCACCCCTGTCGAGGTCTGCCTTTGAGATCTGCTCGTTTGAATTCTGAATTCGGCGCTCTGAGTCTTCGATTCCAAGAGTTCCGAACCAATTATGACATGGAATCCTGCTCTGTAGCCTTTGCTGGTCTCAAATTCTTGATGTTTGGGCTTGGGGGTCGAATCCCCCAACGACCCATGCTGTTCCACGCCTCGTGGCAGCCCGGCTCGCAGTCTTGGGGCCACCTGAAGACGGGGGAAAACAGCTGATCGGTGAACGCTGACCGGCTTCGTGCGGCCAATACAGTAACGGAGCCGGATCGGCGAAAACGGTGAACAACGATGAAAAATGAGTGAAGAGCGGAGTGATCGACGATGAATATCTGTCGAGGAAAAGTGACCCGTCTCTGACCAGTCTGGCCGACTTTCACTGAGGAGATCGACTTCTAGCATTGTTTGGAGGCCTTTCAAAGTCATGATCTTATTACCCATGTTTTCAATGAACCATGTAGTGAACATAATAATTGACAATGCTGCTTGAAATGGAGAGGCTTTGCCACTGGCACTCTCAGATCAAGGGCAATATGATGCGATAGTATGCAAAATGTGTAATTAAAATGCAATCACAACTTCTCATAACAACCAAAAGGGTGGTGCAAATATGTACCATCCTTTACCATCACCCCGTGTTTTGGTCCCCGTTGAGCCTGTTGGTACAAATATGATCATCACATGCCATGATCATCACATATGATCAAATATGTACCCTGGACCCTGCCATGACCATCCTATGCATTTTCGTCCAAACGAGAACAGCACTCCACCGCCTCTTTCAGGGTCGGATGCAAATCATTGCCTTCGCACGGCACCCGTGTGCGCCGGCGTGCGCCGCGAAGCAATGCTGTGCGCAGCACAGCCGCGAGACATCCGTCGGGTGGGATGGATGTCGTTTCTTTTTCTGCATAAAGGCTCTTGTGCCAAGGTGATGCACCGCCTGCAGGGTTGGATTCCACAAAATGAAGAAACCTCTGAGTCTCCACGCTTCTCGCCCACGACCGACCCGCACGACCAACCAAAAGGATGGCCGCGCCTTCCGGGTCCGACCCAAAGACCTCCTCCAGCAGTTCCCCGAAGCCCGACTCCATGCAGAACTGGCGACGCGACGTCTCGACGGTTCCCAAAAGGGCGGGTCCGGTCGGTGATGAAACGTGACGCGAACGGGCCAAACGTGAAAGACTTCACTGTTCACCTGAATCACTTTAGCACTAGGCGTGGGTGCTCACAGGTGTTTTGCGTGGCACCAACTGATTTTGTGTGGGAGAGGCCTTCATATTGTGAGAGGACCCACTATAAAAGAGTTCCAGTTCAGGTACTTCGGTCCCATCCCTTGTGGTGACGCACTGGCCGTGCCATCAACTCCACCTCTTCACACTCGACATAGTCGACGCTTCGGCCGTGCCTGAGGAGTACGCTTCGGTGAGGTCAGGCACCCGCTCGATCGATTCCCAGCGTTGAGGAGATTGCCTCCCTCATTTTATATCTAACAAACATGGTTACGTGGATGGCATGGCTGCAATGACCATGAAATCCAAAGACCAAACAGGGGGTTGTCCACTTCTATGTTTGTTGGATGACCCTTGCTCGCATCATCTGTTTCCCGAAGTGGTTTTGAAATGTTTTTGAAAGCACCGTGTCATAACCTCAGGCATCGGATTCCTGGAGAATGCTTGGCATCGGATCTCAGAAACAAACAAACAACCAACAACAACAAACAACAACCACCACCACCACCACAACAACAACAACCACAACCAACCACCCAACCACCCAACCACCCCAACCACCCAACCACCTAACAACCAACAACCAACAACCGACCACCCAACCACCCAACCACCCCAACCACCCACCCACCCACCCACCCACCCAACCAACCAACCCAACCCAAACAAAACCAAACAAAACCAAACCAAACAAACAACAACATATCAATGCCTTTGACCCTCAAGATTGATCCCTGGAAGTAATGCTTGGCTGCTACAGCTGTTTGGGTTGAACTCAAGGACCCATGGACCAAGAATGGGAAGATCTTGGCCGTTCTGTCTCGGGTGAAGAGTTGGCGAAGGAACGTGTTGCATTTGCCAAAGGTGCAAACATCAGTGCGGCGTCGTGGAAGGTAGGGTTTGATCATTTGCTGTGAGTTCACCGTTTGGATCTTGACTTGCGGCGCGGAACACCCCACTGGTCATGATCAGTGATGGCCCCCTGGGATCTTTGGTCCCAGACGTGCATTGCTGACTCCTGGCGAGAGGAGCAATGAAAAAACACATATAACTGTTTCTATGTTTTTGGTATACATATACATATATATATACATATTTGGGAACATAGATATCATGCGTTTGGTGCATATCATATCACTATAATATAATGTTTGTTCTGTATACGGCATTACATCATAATACCATGCGATCAGTGAGATCAGTATGAATATGTAAGAATAACACATCACCCATGGAGGTATGAGGTTTCTCCAGGCGTATCACGTCTTCAAAACAACAACGGTCCAGGATGCCTGCAACAGTCGTTGGCTCCCAAATTGAACTAATTTGGTCCCCATGAGTTTGGCTTGTTCAGACGAAGAAACCATCCACAAACACGAACAGAAACATCAAAAACGTTCAAAAACCAATGTTTATCAACGTTGAATCACCAAGCAAGAAGGATCAAGAAGGCCAGCACCACCACATCTCCCACACTTTGTCTACCCTTGATTGCCTCAGATTCTTCGCAGCCAGTCCATCGTGGTAGGACGATGTTTCTCTCGTGTTTCACTCGATGGTTCAAGGGCTGAGCCTGGTGATGAATCATGACATCCGGGGATAATCGAATCATCCTTGTTTTTCATGTATATATATATATTATACATATTTATAAATACTATAGTTGCCTTCAGCCATAATCCGCTATGGTAGTAGTTAGAGTTCGACCACCCATCACATGAATCTTGCGACTGACAGAAGCTCAAAGGCTTAGAGCTGGCTGCAACTCTGCACTAAGCGCCATACAAATCTTTTACTTTTTGCCTTGGCTCGAGGCTGGCTGCACAACTGCAACATAGATGTCTCTTACCAACGCATACAAACAAAAAATCGCTGCCGAACGCACAGAACGAACGGCAGCGTCTCAATGACGTCGAGGAGCTTCTCCAAGGAAGTAACTCGGAAGGAACGTAGGATCGCCCTAAGAACCTGCGGATTTTGACGCGGATCGCTTGGACAGCAGCGGACGCAGGCAGGGATTTTTCTCAAACACGGATCACTAAGGGTGTCTGAGAGAGGCTATGGCCTCCCCGACTCAGAAAGCTTACTAAAGGCAGGGAAATAAAATAAGAACACATCACCCAAACTTTTTGGAAGCTTTCCAAATGCATGCTTTTGGCGGGCTTGACTCTGTTCACTCTCCCTCGATTGTTTGTTCGCTGGTGACCCGTTTTGCTATTTACGATCGGACATTCCATCTCCACGCCGGTGGCGCGCTCCCCAAAGTGCATGCGCTCCTATGCTACGCTGCCTCGCTGCGCGAGAGCTGGCCGCTCCCCGACAAATTCCAATACCTGGGCTTCAAAGCAGAAAGTGGGGCCCTCTGAGGCGGAGGGTGGTCCTAATTTGGAGGATAATCAGTCAATACTCAACGTGCGTGGCGCTTTTTTTCGTTTCCATGATGGACCGTCGGGCCCGAAGGTCAGTCGCAACTCCTTCTTGGCCTCTCCCATGCAGACATGGACTTCAAGCCTCTAACTTTTACTTCCAAGACCCTTCTTCTTCCCACTTTTGTGAGATGTTGTGAGTAAACACCCGTAGCTGGGAACTCACCTTGGTAGCTTGACCATGGTCTTTTACGTCAAACCGGTCGTGTCCTCCAGTTTTGATCCACAGCCATGAGCTTTCAACCATTGTAATAGCAGAAAAAACATGAGCAAAAAACACCGACCGACTCCAAAACAGTTTGATCCGGTTTTCCTCCGTGCATCATCACTCGCTGCTATGACCCCCCCAATTTCTGGTGGCTATTTTTGGGTTAGTTACTAGTTATAGTTACTAGTTCATCCCCCTCATCCCCCTTGGGCAAAGACTGATTCAATATCTTTCAATAGACCCAACCATGCAGGATCATATTCAGTCACAATTGATCGTCATGGTGACTGATCGCGATGAACAGCAAGTTGATTGAAAACACCTTCGAACCCCCAGTCACTGCGACTCCTGATCTCACTGGGCTCCCAGGCTTGAACCAGGCCCTTCTCTCTTCAAGGTCAGGAACTGGTCCAAGCGTCATGCATCGCTGGTGCTCCTCGTGTCTCCACGGATGACCAAGCTAGCCAGGGCGTTTATTTCACGCGCTGACCGGCCGGTGTCGCAGGTCGGTCGCGGTCGGTGGCAGGTTTCGATTGATGGCAAAGCCCCCGGGTTAAGAGGTGTATAGACTCAAATTGGGAAGTGAAGAGATCTGTGGAGTGGAGACTTTGGAGTGTTGGTGATGGAACTGCTTGGAGGGCCCGGTGGTCAGTGTAAGTTGTACTTGGCAAATCTTCTCAGCTCCGGGATGATGAGGAACCCTGATGGGATCACATGAGATCTGTCGAGGATTCCGCTGGAGGAGCTTCGTCATGATGAACAACGTGAAGCTTTGGATCTTCCAGTTGGTGTCGGGATTCCAAGCAACTATGCTATACCCAAATGCAAAACACCTTATATAAGAACCCCTTTAGGCCCCTTCAGTCAAGTTCCCTTCCACCACCGCGTCTTGGGACTGTTCAAACATGGGGCCCTTTGGTGGTCTCGGGATCCTCCCCCCCCGGGGCTTTCGCACGGCGCGCCGCGTCCAACGCGGCCCCCGGGTCCCGCCTGCACGTGGCGCCACACCCAAACCTCGACTCCGAGGTCCCGGTCGTGGCGCCGAGGTCCCGGCATGCGGTCGCTTCGGAGAGCGGTCCCCGTTCGTGTCGATAGACATATAGTTTATGAATCATTATTCAGTATTATCATAGAATATCACAGATATAGTATAACTATAGTTAGATAAACTATAGTTATAACATGTTATAAAACCATAAGAAACTATATACGTGGTGTGATGCTGCACTGAGCTGCCGGCAAAAAGACCGTTTGTAAGAAAGTCTGCTGCGTGCACCTTGCAGGATCTCATCAATTTAATTAGGTGCATGGTATCACAGTGTCACACATCATCCCTGACCTTGCAACAGCTGCTGATGCCAAGATCAGGTTAATATGGCAAATAGATCCAGTGCTGAACATGTTGAAACTGCAGTGAGAAGGGTCAAGAGATCCAGTTGCATGTTTTCTGCATGGACAGGTCGTTGCTCTTTAGATGACCTCCAGTCCAGGCGGAAAAGCCATGTTGTCTGGACCTTTTGAAGGAAGTTTGTCGGCTCAAACTGCGAGCAACGTGGGACAACAGCAAAAGGTCTTGATTCTTGACGTTTAAGGGCTATCAAGCAGGACTTCTTCGGAAGTATAGAGCCACACTGAATGCTGACTTAAGGTAGCAGTGGGACTTCCGTGTGAGCTCTATAGGGTGTCCCCTCTGCTACCGCTCGTTTGCTTGCGTTGAAGAACTTGCGAATATCTCTAGGTCACTCTCTAGGTCCTATGTGTGCTTCATGCTGTCATGCTTGGATTTGTGTGGGACCACAATGGACCACACACCGAGCATACCCACTGGCACCTCTTGCTCCAAAGCTTCTCCCTGGGCCTGCAAAGGATCGTGCTGGCAATGGCTGGTGGATTCGTTTGAAGAGGCAGGACATGGCGTCTGCTGTCTCTTAGAAGGAATGTACAGGCTCAATCAACTTTACAAGTAGTAGGTAGCTCTGAAATACTTAAGCTCTGTCTATTCTTATAATGAAAGCAGAAAGGCTGGGAATGGCTGGGAATGGCACTCAACTCGTGGGTGCGTTCATTTCCAAGACCAGTCGGTGATGGTGCATACTGGTTGGAACTGTCGAACAGGTCGTAAACGACATCGTTTACGACCAACGTTCAGAAAACGCCAATGATTCAGTACGAGTACGGCAAAAAGCGGATGACGACGTGATGCAACTAACCAATGATAAGGATGATCCTTAAGCTGATGACCATGCTGTGTATACGTACTGCCTAAACAACACGGGCACATATGGATGAGCAGCAGCAAATAATCATAGGCATATAAATCTCTATATGTATAAATATATGTGTATGTATGTTTTCACATGGCAAAAACAAATATATAATTGCAAGAAATACTCAATCCTTCCATTCAAGGAACGGATGACATTTTGACATACTGTAAGCAACACAGGCTAACATCGATGTAGTTCTGAAGAGAGAATCTTCTCTACCATGTTGGTTCTTGAATTTACTTTTGCTGCAGCTCATAGCTCATCTGTGGCGGACTCTATAGTTCATTGCAGATTCTCCCGTTCGATGGGCGGATTGATGTCGACCCTCGACTCGCCTCCAAAGCGTCTGATTCCAAGGGCAGAAGCGATGAGAGTCTGACGGTGCTTCGTCCGGCGGTGCGCGTCGAACGAAGCAAAGGTTGAAAATCACGGTCGACCGACCTCCTGGGTGAGTCAACTAGAAGTGAAAAAATGATCGAACTCATCCTTCGTTCTGACCAAACATGATCTGAAGAATCTTGATGAGTCGATGCCGCTGCAGGAATGGAACCATGATGAAGCGTATGCTATCACATGTCTGTTTCTCTGGTTCTTTGTCTTCGCTACGAGCTTTTGATTGTCCATTTGCTCAAGTGTTCGGCAAGCAATTGTTCCATCAGACCCACACCCGCCACTGTACTCATGGCTAGTCCTTTTCCCACTGAAGCTGTGGCTGTCAAAGCTACACCACGGCACAACTGGGCAGCCGCACGTTCGAAGAAGCATTGGCTGGGCCTGAAACTGAAACGAGGTTTAATTCGCTTGGAGTTCCTGTTGTTTTGCTTGGTTTGCTACTGATCAGACGCATCCAGTCTTGGTGGCATCCTCCATACCAGTTACCTACAATGTGCGAGCCAGACCACATGCCACTTCTTCGTTTGGGAGCTCCCGGACCTTGGATCTTCCAGGCGACCCCAACAAGATGATCCTCGTTGGCCGCCAGGAACTCAAAGCAGCTCAAAGGGTCCTGGCAGGGTTCCAGGTAGGTCTCAAAAGGATCAAAGGTTTCAGCATTGACTAGCTTCAACATGCTCTGTATATAAATTGTCTGTCTATATATACTTTCCATCAACCCATGAGTCCCTTCACCAAAGCAGGATTGCCCCCCAAACAATTCAAAACAATCAACGCCCCTCAAGCCAAACAATCAGCATCCACTCTCCCCCAGTTTGGTGCTGCACAGGATTTTCCACCCCAAAAGGTCCCAAACAATAATCTCCCCAACTCCCCTGCACGTCGCTCCCGCTGGTCGTCGCGAACGCACGTCGCAGTCTTCGGCCGCTCCTCGCAAAGGGATGGCACCGGGCGCATCTCCACCGCATGGCGTCGGCACTCTGGGCAGCGCAGCGCTTCGCCCTGGGAGCTGGTCGAGGAGGCCTTGGAGCGCGGTTTCCGGTCGAAGAAGCCGCTCATAGAGCAGGAGTCGCTCGTCACCAGGAGAGGCTGTCAGTTTTGGGGCTGAAGAAGCTCCAAATTCCGAATGCCCTTGGCGTGGCTGAACGATGTTGAACTGTGGTCTAGGATAAACATGGATCAACTGGCTGGCCTTCTGAGCCTCTTTCTGGTGGCAGTCATCGCAATGGAGGTAAGTCTGCCAAGCATATATCGATTGCATGGACCACACCCTTCCGGGATAATCGCAGTGCCATTGTGAGCAGTGGGAGACGTATCCCCAAAGACTTCAAACCAAAGGGAATCGAGATTACTTTTTCCTTCTCAAGTGTTCTGTTTTCGGTAGGATTCTGACGGCTCATGAGGTTCATGGCGTTTCTTTGAATGGAGGCACTCGGAAATCCATGTCAACTGCAAGAGGAGAGTATGCCTGGATTAGAGGCCACTATTTCAAGCCAAGCAAAAAAGGCCCTTTCAGTCAGGGAACTTTTTTTGGAACATAAAGGTGCAAAGAGGAGGAGGAGTAGGAGGAGGAGTCCAAGAACAGAACAGGTTCTAATCAGCAAATCCAAGAAGCATATCCTCGCCTGAGTGCCGGCGACGCTGCCAAGGCGTAGGGGTGATTCACTTCACTGGAGACAAACTGGTCCGTTCTGGGTGAGTCTGTTGGGTACAAGAAGTCGGAAGTGCCCAGCGTTTTAAGTTGGGCCTTGCTTAGGCCCTAGATGCACATGATTGCAAGGACTTGCAAATTGCAAGGACTTGCAAATTGCAAGGACTTGCAACTGGGTTAGTGCAATTCAGAGCTCCTTGAGATATCCTTGTTTGTTGACCCGTAACTGCGATGCAACACCTTGCACACGCGGAGGAGGTATATCGAGTTCTCAGAATGCTGACGAGGACCTTGGGACTTGGAACCTAGCCCCAACCTTGCATGAAAAACAGGACAAATCTGTACTGGTCCAGTGAGGAATTGGTCTTTCTATGCCTACAAAACCACACCAACCCATTCCTCCATCCATGTTCACCTGGAGAACCCTCCCCGCCGGCCGGCCTGTGCGTCTGTGGGGCCCCCCACGCGCAGGTGCTGCAGAGGAAGTGCAAGCAAACGGCGGTGTCGGCCACAAAGGCGGTCGGTGTCGATCTGGGCATCGAGCGATGTGGCGGAACGTGGTCGAAAAGGGTTCGAACGGGTGACCCGTGGCCAGACCTGTCCCTCGGTCACATACCACAAAAGAGACGCCGGACACGACAGGAATCCCGAAGCTCAGCAGACTCAGCAGATTTTTGGTTTGGAAATGACTTGACACTTTCTTGAATGGATCTTGTCCATCAACAGAAACTCTCGGATCTTTGTCTGGCTTTTCGAGGTCACCAATGTTGAAGTGTTCATTATCGACAACCGAGTCCCAAACACAATCTGATAAAAGAGAAATCACAGAATATGTTGAAATGACCTGTCTACAGTCTACACATGAAACAAACAAACACCAAACACAGTGGTTCTTGCAACTGTAAGACATTAGATTCTTTAATGAGAACAAGTGCGCTGGTCAGAGGGTGGCCAGTCACCAGTGCAACACATTAAAACAAATTTAATAAAATTAAAACACATTAGAATAAATTCTTCCCAAATGAATGTTTTGGAGTAGAGTTCCAAGCATTTGCACTGGTGTCTGAACAGGTGTGATGGACTGAATGGTACATAATTGCCTGCTCCTGTAACAACAGTAAAGGTTCCCCAGATGTTTTGGGTAGAAGTTCAGGAATTTACACTTGTGTTTGAATTGGAGAAGTGTGATGCACTGAAGTGTACATACTTACCTGCTCCTGTAGCAAGCAGGTGAACCCACAGATATGTTTTGGGTAGATGTTCAAGAATGTGCACTGGTGTTTTGGAACTGATGCACTGGATGCCTGCTCCTGTAGCCATTTTCTTGGCTACTCTGGCAGTGAAAGTGGGCCATGGGAAAAGACAAGAAGCACAAGAAGCAAAGGACACTGCCTTTGGAAGGTCAATAAATTGTGGAACCAAGCTGGAGTCTGCTAGTTTCAACTTGTTTGGCAGTTGAGGGCATAAGCTTGAATTTGCCTGGGTTGTGTGATTGTTTGGAGTTTGGCTGGCTGAACTGGCCAATAGGTTGTGGAATCAAGCTGGAATCTGCTAGTTTGTAATTGTTTGGCAGTTGAGGGCATAAGTAGTTTGAATTTGCCTGGGTTGTGTGATTCTTTGGTGCTTGGCTGGCTGAACTG